CCTTATATGTTTGTGGTTCTGTGACATTTTCTAAAAGCATGCCACTAGTGTAGTGTCACTAAAGTGTAAATTTGTTGTAGTGACATTTTTGTTGTAGTGAAGTGACACTTTTTTTAATTGAAATGCTACTAGAGCCTTGTATGTTTGCGGCTCTATGGCATTTTTCTAAAAAATGCCACAAAATATTTTTTTTGTAACATTTTTTAAGAACATGCCACTAGTATGGTGTCACTAAAATGTGTTTTTGTTGTAGTGCCGTCTATAAGAAAGTCCGAATAGTCTACCCTCATTTTATCCAACTAAATTACCACACACACACAGAGGTTCAGAGTGATGAGGAAGCTAGGCATGATTGTAGTACTTTGCTCAATGGCAATTGCCATGCCAGTGTTTTGTAGCATTGCCGAGGATCCCAAAGAAGTGGAGCAATGGTTCCACGACCTCACCACAAAGCAAACCAAAAAGTGACCAAACTTCATTTCTACCTCCAAGACTTGAGGGGCATAACCACAACCATCGTGGCTCAATCCAACACCAGCCCCACATCCCCCACTTTCTTCGGCCTAACCTACATGGTGGATGATCCACTAACAGTCGGTCCTTCACAAGCTTCCAAGGTGGTGGGTCGAGCCCAGGGACTGTACGGTTTGTCCTCAAAAGAGGACATGCGTCTGTTTATGACCATTGATATAGTTTTCACCGATGGAACCTACAATGGAAGCACTCTCACTGTTTTGGGCTCCAACCCAGTAACTCAGACGAAACGCGAATTGCCAGTGATCGGAGGGACTGGTGTTTTCAGGTTGGCCCGTGGTGTTGCTCTGTTAAACACTGAAGTGGCTGAATGTGAAATGGGTCGGGTCCAAGCCTTGGGCCGGCCCAATCCACTGAAGTCTGAATCCAAGTGGGCTGGATGAGTATATGGGCAAACCAATTAAGCCCGACTTCATGATCAACAGTCTGCCCAAGTCCTAAAGCACCTAGGCCCAACCCGCAATGGAAAGGCTAGTCCAGTCGTGGTGCTGGGCTGGGCCGAGCTGCGAGACTGAACCTATGGGCCGAACTGAAAATAGGCCGAGCCCATACAAAGATATCTGAATAGATCAACCCATCTCCATGAATGATCCTGTAAAAGGCCGAGACAAGGCATAATGATGCCGAGCTGAGGCACATCGGTAACGAGCTGAGGAAACCTCCCAAGGGAACGTGGAAGTTGTGAATGTGTGCATGTGCAAGTTGCCACCTCAGCTAGTCCCCTACACCTAGAATCACGGAAGTTGTTGAATCAAAGGAATGTGGTTTGTTATCAGCATGACTACAATGAGTATATGCATTCAATGACAACTACCAGGTGGTCCCCCACCTGAGCAACGCTAAAAGGACACCTGGCAGCATCCAAGCTCCATGAACCCACCTTGAGAAGCAAGCAAGGAACACTATATATACAACATGTACTTCACGTTGTAGGTAACTGAACTATTCTAAGTAAAATCACACTTAGATACAAACTCAACTCTCTATACATTTCTTCTCCGATTGCTAATTCCCACACCGGACGGGTTTTCCGGCCAACCCCGGCCGGGCAGCTCTAACGGTGTTCCCTGTGGCAGGAACCTCAGTCCCTGGATAGTCCAACTGAGTGCAGAGCCCTGATCCACTTTTATTTAGTGCGGAATTCGGTACGCACAATTGGTGCGGTGAGCGTGGATCACTTCATCTCTGAGCTCTGCATTCAGTTCCGGCGATGGGGATTGAGGACATTCCGCCGTCGACACATACTCCACAGACGGAGAAAACGAAGGACAAATGTTTGGCACTCCCAACAGTCCTGGAGGAGCAAACTGGAAACAATAATCGAACCCCCGAATCCGTCGAGCATCGACTACTCTTCGTTAGAGGTTCTTCTCATCACTTTCTTCTAGAAAAGGATTATAGAGATCGCATCATAGACTCCATGGAGATGGAGATACAGGAGTTGAAAGCCCAACTTAAGAGGGTGTTGGGTGATCCGATAGAAAAGAAGACGGAAGCGGAGCCCTCTCGTTTGCGACAGAGGAGCTCATCCAGAGAGCCACCAGTGAAGAAATTCCCCAAGAATGAGTCTGGGCAACAAAGCCAGCCTATCCCGGTACAGAGTGAGGTAGCAAGTAGTCACACCCGTGGGTCACGCCGGAGAAGGGCCAAGAAATAGAAGACAGTTAGCCAACAGACTGAATACCCTCCTCAGGACCTTCGTACTTGGTTGATGGGCAATAGGCAGAACGAACAACATCAGGATCACCTAGACCGTACTGTTCACCAGAGAGAACATCAGGCGCTGGACAGGCTCGTCTCTTCGCCATTCTCCCCGGAGATTGAGACCATGAGACCTCCAAAGAAATTCACCCCACCAAAGTTCACTTCATACGACGGGAAGTCAGACCCGCTAACACATATTAGCCATTATAGACAGATGATGTCCCTATGGAACCAAGATGAGGCACTGATGTGTAAAGTCTTCCCATCTAGCTTGGGAGAAACTGGACTTCGATGGTTCGATCGTCTCCCTGCTAGATCAATCCATGGTTGGAAACAGCTCTCCGAAGAGTTCTTAGCCAGGTTCGTCTCCAACACTAAGATCCCGAAAGAGCCGGATACACTGTTCGGCCTCCGAAAGGAGCAGGAGGAAACGCTGCGCAATTATGCTAGGAGGTACTGGGAAGAGTACAATGACCTGGAGGAAAATGTGTGCAGTGAGCAGATGGCCGTTATGTTCTTCAAGCATGGTCTGCGCCCGGAAAGTAAGCTGAGACAATCACTTACCAAGCACTCGGCCACGGCTTTGAAAGATTTGCGTGCCAGGATTGCACAGTATGCTCGCCTCGAGGATGGTCAGATCTCCATCGAGGAAGTGTCAACAGAACAAACAGCTTGGCACAAAAAGAGAACAGATCGATGAGAACATCAGTGAATGAAGTGGATAAGTCCAAATCCCACAAAGCCATTGTGACTGTATTCAAAGAGCCAATCTATCGAATCCTAGGTTCCGGGGCCAAAACACGCAGTTCGGGGTCCCGAAAATGGGCTGTTAAGCACCGAAAATGGTATTCGACCTCGAAGTGGGTTTCTCAACCCCCAGTGTCCCTCAAAAGGGATGAAATAAGATGTATGCCGAAAACCGAAGCAATAGGAGATGGTTAAGCGGTCCCGAACCGAGGCACACGGCCTGACGGCTCCGAAAACCGGGAACCGGACTCCGAAATGGGCAAAATGGCCCGCGGCCACAAAATGTAGCCCACGGCCACTAAGAGATGGTCTACAGGACCTCTTCCTCCCCTCAGGAAAAGAAACAGAGAAAACTGAGTCTGGTTCGCAAACCGAGGGAAGGCACAAAAGAGGGTTCGGAAGTCCGGAGGCAGGGCTCACGGCCGCGACTCTGAAACTTCTGAACGAGCACATTATGTAATATCACCAAACGCTCAATCGGTGACGTCTGAGCCTTTAGGTCGGTCAAAAATGGGGTGTCTACATTGGCACAAGAAGAGAACAGATCGATGAGAACATCAGTGAATGAAGTGGATAAGTCTAAATCCCATGAAGCCGTTGTGACTGTATTCAAAGAGCCAATCTATCGAATCTTGGAAAAGATCAAGAGAGAGCCCTTCTTTGTTTGGCTGTCGAAAATGTTGGGAGATCCAGCTCGGCGCAATCAGAAGCTCAGATGCACCTACCACCAAGACAGGGGGCATATGACTCAGAACTGCAGGGCACTGAAGCAACACTTGGAAGACCTAGTGACAGCTGGACACTTAAGGGATTACATTGATCAGGATAAGGAAGTGGCTGAACAGGGGAACCCACCGCCAGAACCAAATATTGAGCATCCACCTTGGTTGATAATAAATGTGATCCACGGGACAACGACTCAGGAATCTGAGGAGGCACTAACGGAAGAGATCGCTAAGGCTGCGCAAATTCAGTAGGTCATGTCAGTGGAGCCTGCATCGAAAAAGATACGTACAGTACCTAAATCCCCCTTGTGCACTGTTTCATTTACTAGAAAGGATTTAGGAGGCATACATCACCCATACACTGATGCACTGATTATAACTGTGGGAATTGGGAAACGATTTGATATAAAACGAGTCTTAGTAGATCAAGGCAGTGCAGCAAATATATTGTATTATGATTTGTTCAGAAAGCTTGGTCTCTCCGAGCAGCACCTCACCCCAGCGGCAGCCCTGTTGGTCGGTTTCAATTCACAGCCAGAATGGCCGCTTGGCAGAATAGTGTTGCCAGTCATGGCAGGAACAAAAACCCTCCAGATAGAATTCTTGGTAATTAATACACCATCCTCTTACAACGCCATACTTGGCCGTCCGTGGATTCATCAAATGGAGGCAGTCCCTTCAACCTATCACCAGCTCATCCGTTTCCCAACGGAACACGGAGTAGAGCAGATCTCAGGAGATCAAGTTGCGTCCAAACATTGCTTCATGGCAGCATTAAAGGCAAAGCAGCTTAGCAATCGGGTACAGATGGTAGAAGTGGCCGAACAGCCAGTCTTGGAATATGTAGGGGGAGCTCCAGAGGAGAAAATAGTAGAGGATTTGGAGAAAGTCCTGGTAAAAGAGGATGACCCACAAAAGTACTTCCTTATCAGTACCTCGCTAGGCGCTTTCGCATGGTCAGCATATGATACTCCAGGGTTGGACCCAGAATTTGCTTGCCACAAGCTCAACATCAACCCTTCAGCTTGGCCCATTGTGCAAAAAAGTTAGAGATCCTCAATTGAGCACACCGAAGCAGTAATTGCCGAAGTAAAAAAACTCCTGGCTTCAGGAGCAATCAGAGAAGTTCAGTACCCGCAATGGTTGTCCAACACAGTTGTAGTCAAGAAGAAGAATGAAAAATAGAGAGTTTGCGTTGATTTCACTTGCTTGAACAAAGCTTGTCCTAAAGATAGCTTTCCTCCGCCTCGCATTGATCAACTAGTAAACTCAACAGCAGGGCATGAGCACATGAGCTTTCTGGACGCTTATAGCGGTTATCATCAGATACCACTGTTCGGTCCGGATCAAGAAAAGACAGCATTTATCACTCCAAGAGGAACTTACTGTTACAGAGTGATGCCGTTCGGCCTCAAGAACTCCGGGGCAACCTACCAGCAGATGGTCACTCGGATGTTCAAGGACCAACTGGGAAAAACCATGGAGGCTTATATAGATGATATGGTAGTCAAGAGTAAGTTCGCTACAGACCATCTTACAGACTTGAGAGAAGTTTTTGACATCTTAAAAAACCATCAGCTTCGCCTCAATGCCTCGAAATGCACTTTTGGGGTAGGAACAGGAAAGTTCTTGGGATATATGGTCACTCACAGAGGAATTGAGGCGAATCAGGACCAAATAAAAGCAGTACAAGATCTTAAAGTACTAACAAAGGCTAAGGAGCTGCAGAAACTGGCCGGAATGACGGCCGCACTGAATCGGTTCATCAGCAAATCTTCAGATCTGATGAAGCCCTTCTTCCAGCTTTTGAGGAAAATGGCAGCATTTGAATGGAGTTACGAGTGCACTGAAGCACTGCAAAGTCTCAAAAAATACCTCAATACACCTCCCCTTCTGTCCACTCCAGAGCTAGGAGAGGAGCTATACCTCTACCTAGCAGTCTTAGATCATGCTGTAAGTGCAGTATTAATTCAAGAGGTTAACAAGGAACAAAGGCCTGTCTATTATGTCAGCAAGGCTTTACTAGATGCCAAAACACGGTATCTGCCGTTGAAAAAATTAGCCTACGCGCTGCTTATCGCCTCAAGAAAGCTGCAACATTACTTCCAGCGTCATACCATTAACGTCCTCACTGAATTCCCCCTCAGATCTGTGTTCAGCCGAGCCAATTTCTCTGGCCGAATAGCAAAGTGGGCGGTAGAACTTGGTGAGTTTAACATTCGATATCAACCCAGGACAGCGATCAAGGCCCAGGTCTTAGCGGATTTTGTCGCAGAATTTGCTCTCACCTAGAGTACCGAATCGGGGGATCCGAGTTCGGCACAGGTGCCATGCACCACCGAACAAGGAAAACCCTGTGCTTCGGATGCATGGAAACTCTTTATTGGAAACATCTGGCAGCTCTATGTTGATGGATCGTCCAATGACCGAGGCTCGGGGGCAGGAGTAGTACTTATTTCACCAGAAGGGTTTATCTGGGAACAGGCTCTCAGGCTCAGTTGGAAGGCTTCAAACAACAAGGTCGAGTATGAAGCATTATTAGCTGGCTTACGTAGCGCCGAACACTTCAGTGCAGAACAACTTCTTGTTTTTAACGATTCACAACTAGTGGTAAACCAGCTTTCTGGGGTCTATGAAACACGAGTTGAAAGAATGGCTATGTACGCAGGCAAGGCCAAGGACCTACTTAGAAAATTTCAATCCATACGAGTGGAACGAATCAGTCGAGACAAAAACAGCCACGTTGATGCTCTAGCATGCCTCGGCTCATCAGTGGATACGAAGGATGCTAGAAAAGTTTGGGTTGAGTTTGTACCAGAACCAAGTATTGCATCTTCTGTCCTCTGCAACAACTTAGAGCCGAGCTGGATGGATCCGATATTTGCTTTTCTGAAATTTGGTACACTCCCCGAAGACAAAAGGGAAGCCAACAAGGTCAGACATAAGTCAGCTCTGTTCTGGATCTCACCATCTGGGAAGCTTTACAGATGCTCCTATCTTGGCTCCTACCTCCTATATGTGCATCCAAATCTGGTTGAGAATGTTCTCTACGAAATTCATGATGGGATTTGTAGATGCCACGTTGGTGGAAGGTCACTGGCACACCGAGCCCTCACTCACGGGTACTGGTGGCCACGGATGCAACAAGATGCGCAGCAGTACGTACAGAAGTGTGATAAATGTTAGAGGTTTGCTCCATTCATTCATCAGCCAGCCAAAACTCTCACCCCACTCACCAACCCATGTTCCTTTGCCCAATGGGGTCTGGATATTGTCGGACCATTGGCGCGAGGCACGGGGAACAGGCGATTCTTCATTGCAGCAATTGACCATTTTACTAAATGGGTTGAAGTCGAGGCATTGGCAAATATCAAAGAAGTAGATACGAGGTGGTTTGTTATGAGAAATGTGGTAGTGCGTTTCAGCATCTCGCGGGTACTGATTGCAGATATTGGAACACAGTTTGATGGTAAGATCTTCAGAAAGTTTTGTACTGACCTCAGGATCGAGAATAGGAACTCCTCTCCAGGGTACCCGCAAAGCAATGGATAGGCTGAAGCCTCAAACAAAACCATCATCAATGGAGTAAAGAAACGGCTTGAGCATGCCAAAGGCAAATGGGTTGAAGAGTTACCCCACGTGCTATGGGCATACCGAACCACAGCACGGCGATCTACGGGGTAAACACCTTACTCACTAACTTATGGAATGGAGGCCGTCATCCCACTAGAAGTCGGCCTCCCAACCCTTCGGTCTGAATTATTTGAGAGCACCAGTAACGAGGAAGCTATTGCACAAGCACTAGATATGGTAGAGGGCCGAAGAGAAGCAGCACTGATCAGACTCGTAGCGTATCAGCAGCAGCTCATCAAGAGTTTCAATCAAAAAGTTTTCCCAAGGCAATCTACACTAGGAGAACTGGTCTTGAGGAAAGTTATGAATCACAAAAGGGTGCCTGGTGAGGGCAAACTTGGGCCTAACTAGGAAGGTCCCTACAAAGTCACAGTTATTGTTGGAAATGGAGCCTACTACTTATAGGATTTGAATGGCAGAGCTATACCTCGGCCCTGGAATGTAGAAAATCTCAAGAAATACTATCAATAGAATTATCCCCCAACTTCTTTATCAGGATGTAAAGGCATTTATCTGCTGACCAATGCAAATGCTCCCCCATTTCTCTCAAATTTATCAAATTCTTGTAAATAGCTTTGATGTTTATCAAACGGAATTAGGTTTGGTTCTTACCAAACGGAATTAGCTTTGGTTCTTACCAAATGGAAATAGCTTTGATGTTTATTAAACGGAATTACCTTTGGTTCTTACCAAACAGAATTAGCTTTGATGTTTATCAAACGAAATTAGCTTTGGTCCTCACCAAATGGAATTAGCTTTGATGTTTATCAAACGGAATTAACTTTGGTCTTAACCCAAATGGATTTAGTTTCAAAACGACTGGACGGAATTTAAATTTGGTTAGCACTCAAACATGCTAAGTGGAATTGCTTGGTGGAATAATGTTTGGCAACTAAATTGGACTTTAGCCAAGTGGAATTGCTTGGTGGAAACCACACTAACATATCTTAAGTAAACAACTTTGAATCCACTGAATTCCTTAAGTACCAACACGTCAACACTTCAGTACTGACTCAAACAAATAGAGTTGGAACAAGCATGCCCAGGTTCTATCAGGAGTAAACTTCCAGCATTAGTCTTACTCAACTCCAGCTGGGGGCAAACAATTGTTTTTTTCAAACCAACCTGGACCTGAGTAAGACACCTTTTCATGCCTTCATCGCATTCAAATACACCTATGCTAACTAAGTTGAAGCAGACTCAAGCAGTTCTACACAAGGGCACAATCTTCAGTACCAATCTTACTTAGCTCTAGGTGGGGGCAAACAATTGTTTTCTTTTTCAGTACCAATCTTACTTAGCTCCAGGTGGGGGCAAACAATTGTTTTTTAAAACCAACCTGGACCTAAGTAAGACCCTCTTACAAACTCAAGCACAGCCATACCACATATTCGTTAGCCACACCGAGCATCTGTTCGGCCCCGAGGTCCCAACAGTGCTCGGTCGGGGGCAAACAGTACAGAACCAGACCGAGCATCTATTCGGCCCCGAGGTCCCAACAGTGCTCGGCCGGGGCAGGCAGTATAGAAAACATTCAAACAGCATCAGATTGCAAGTTCAAAAAGAAAATTCTATCATCCAACAAAAGGCACAGATGGCCTCATAACCAGTAGCAAAGAAAAGAAAAGAGAAAAGAAAAATTGTCTTGGCAAGTACAGAAAGAAAGCTCATCATGGAGACCAAGCCATAATACATCGGAACAGAAAAGCCAAAAAGTTCAAATCCTTTCAACATCAACTTTCATTAGCAGAGGGAAACTCACGAGCAGCGTCAACAATTTTGTCCAGGCCGTTTGGGGGAGGAAAAGTAGAGGCAGCTCCAACTTTCTGAGAAGTAGAAGCCTCCTTAACCACATCTCCCGTAGCTTCGGTCTCCAGGGTTTCAATCCTTTCAACATCTACCGTTTCAGCGACAACATTACTGTCCTGGGTCTTGTTTGCAAAATTAGCTTCTGGGGAAACTTCAGCTGGAAGAACTGCAGGGGTGGAAATAGTCTTTGAACCAAAGGATCTTGAAGGAACTGGGACATCCTGAAACAGGGAAGAGCCTTCAGGAACCAGCGTGGCAGCTAAAGCACTCGTCCAACCCTTTAGAAAGAGTTTGTCCCATAGCACTAGCACCTCCTCCTTATATGCTGCCCCAGTTTCATGCCAGCCTTGTTGCCAATGCTTGGCCTCCAAAGCAGAGCGCTCGGGGGCCATCACGGCAATAACGGCTTCCAGTTCGGCCACCTTCCCCTCGAGTTGAGCCTGTGTGCCAATAGTAACCTCCTTCAATTTTTCAGCTGAAGCGATAATCTTGTTCAAAATAAATGCTTCCCTCTCCGCAGTTCGACGTCCTTCCTTCTCTGTCTTCAAGCTTACCGTCAATCTCTCAGTGTTCATTGCGGCCTCCAGCACGGCCCTTTCTAGCTCTTCAGCACGGGTAATGGATAGACACATTCTCTGGATACACTGTAAAGGACAACGAAGAATTAAGAGAAAAAGAGACAGCAACGCAACAATAAAGACAAGTAAAATGAGGAAACACTTGCAGCAGTCATCATCTGAAGGAAAAACTTAGTGAAATCAAAGGCAAAATCTTGGGAAGCGACAACTGAATCAGAAGTGGAAATGGGCCTGCCTTTATGAGACATTGGCGGCTCCCATTTCTCAAAAGTCTCATCCTTAGCAGGATCCTCAGAGGCTTCCCCCACCACTACTTTGCCAGCCTCTCTTCTTCTCTTTTTTGCTCGCGCAACAACCGAAGCTGAGGGCTCGGCAGCAGTCGCAGGGGTCCCAGAAGCTCCCACCTCCATCTTTACTTCCATGAGGGTCTTCGCCTCGGTCTTTTCCAGAGGGGTTTCCAAAGCATCGGAGGCTCCGAAAGCCTTGGCCTCTAAGTCCACCAACACCCTTCTCTTCGCCACAGACCCGCCCCCTGTGAAACCAGGGGCAGGGGAGGGCGCTCTCTCAGAAAGTGCACCTTGACTCCTGCGACGCCTCGTGACCAAAGGAGTAAGAGACGTGTCAGTCTCGGTATCAGAGTCCAGAAGGGCAGCAGCGAGCCTTGCTTTCTTTGGAATAATGGAGCGGTAAGTAGACTGGTAGTCCAATAACTCGGGTGCAGATCTCTTTTTATACCTCAGGGCAGCTTTTATGGCTTCAGCATTTTCTCGGTTCGGTCTTCGTTGGAAACGAGAGGCCTCTGCAAAAAAATAAGTGACCCATTAGAGCAATATCCAAAATAAAGTAAGGAATACAAAAGGCATTAGAAGAGGGGGCCCGAACCTGGGTAGCCGTCTTTTTGGGGCATATGCTCAGACTGAAACTCAGTTCCGGCGGGGAACTCCCAGTTTCCACCAACTTGTAAGAAATCATCGTTGTGTTTATCCGAATCAGGCAACCCAGTAACCAAATGGCAATCAAACCAGCGAACACGCAAGTAATACGTGCTGTGGTCTTTGTTATGAGAAAGAGTATAACAACCAAGGATATCTCATATGTCAAGGTTCAAACCCAATCGCCTATTGAGGGCGGATACGCCGCAAACAACACGGAAAAGGTTCACAGATACTTGCATTGGGGTTAACTGGACTTGATGCAGAAACCGGCGCACCAACGGATCAAGGGGAAACCGAACCCCTCCATCGACTATGGCAGCGATGGGAAAAGCAACGGTATTCCTTGTGCCCATACGCTTGGCGTCTACTTTCATCAATGAAAGGGTAACATCGTTGGGAATATTATAGTCCAGACGGAACATAGCCATGGCCTCGGGGGTATCAACCAGTGAACGAAACTTCCCCATTTAACAAACTTAAGGGGAAAGAGGTAGGACTTAGATAACAGAGTGTGGAACACAAACAGCGAGTGGGCCAAACAAGATGAGTAAGATAAAAGAGGCAAGAGAAGAGGAATCACAAGAAGACTTACAGAGATTAGAACAGTGGTAGCAGAGCAAGATCAGCGGCGAGAAAGTCTGAGTAGGGCACCAACGAGATTGGTTTAAAGGAACGGGAAAAGTTCTTTCTCTTTCTCTGAAACTCTCTAGAGGAACGAAAAAGCAGACGAAGGGATTTGTATTGATAGCCAGAGCATTAATTGCACTAGCCGGTGCGTAGGTACAGGGAGCACGACCTTCAGTATGGAATCGACGCACTATCTCTGCACACCTATCTCATATCGCCATGTGTCGCCATGAAAGGACGCATGCAGGAATTCTGTGTCAGGATTGAGCCGTCACCAAGGCCGAACTGGGGAAAACCGAAATGACGCGACGCTTGGGAAGCAGGACAATAGCTCCCCCCAAGGGAAACCTTAGCGCGAGCTAGGGGGCAAATGAAGGGGCTGAATGTGAAATGGGTCGGGTCCAAGCCTTGGGCCGGCCAAATCCACTGAAGTCCGAATCCAAGTGGGCTGGATGAGTATATGGGCAAACCAATTAAGCTCAACTTCATGATCAACAGTCTGCCCAAGTCCTCAAGCACCTGGGCCCAACCCGCAGTGGAAAGGCTAGTGCAGTCGTGGTGTTGGGCTGGGCCGAGCTGCAAGACTGAACCTATGGGCTGAACTGAAAATAGGCCGAGCCCATACAAAGATATCTAAATGGATCAGCCCATCTCCATGAATGATCCTGTAAAAGGTCGAGACAAGGCATAATGATGCCGAGCTGAGGCACATCGGTACCGAGCTGAGGAAACCTCCCAAGGGAACGTGGAAGTTGTGAATGTGTGCATGTGCAAGTTGCCACCTCAGCTGGTCCCCTACACCTAGAATCACGGAAGTTGTTGAATCAAAGGAATGTGGTTTGTTATCAGCATGACTACAATGAGTATATGCATTCAATGACAACTACCAGGTGGTCCCCCACCTTGAGCAATGCTAAAAGGACATCTGGCAGCATCCAAGCTCCATGAACCCACCTTGAGAAGCAAGCAA